ATGTCTATCTACCTCCTGTGGCACCCATTTTTCTGTATTGCTAATGGATAATAAAAAAAAAAAAATTAAATAAAAAATCTGATTCTGGTCATAACAGAATTGAAAAAATGTAATAATTTGTTTTCTTCATCTTTGAATAGGAAGGGACTATTTTCTATTTTTAGAACAATATTACGAATGTACGGCTTTCCTTTGGGATAGTAAAGTATCCATCTATCTATCTCTTAGGTATTGTAGGTCTTCTTTAGATGTTCTTGCCTCTCAAAGCATCCCTCTTGGTACAGCTTGTTCTCAGGGGAGCAGTAAAGAGACAGGTATAAAGAGTTGAGCTGAGAGAGTCCAGGATAACGCCGTCAGCTAAAATATGTTCTGAGCCAGGCCCTGACTGACAGCTGGACCCAGGTGTGCAGCTGCTGCTATTTCTGGGACCACAGTTTGGGTTTTGTAAAAGTGAAGCAGTGGGGAGCTTTGGTCTGGTGCACTGAAAGACTGAGAGACACAATAGAATGTGCAAAGATTTAGTTTAGATATTATGAGGACACACTGGCATTCAATATAAAAGGATTTGATAGCCATCTGTTATTTGTGTAAACTATTTAATTAATGAAGGATGAAAGTAGTTGGAGCTTTTACTTGGTTGTGTTTTGTTTCTTGGAACAGCCTCCATTCAATATCAATGCATGTGTTAGTAGGCCTGTCGCAATATCAAATGTTGTGATAGCAAAAAAAATAAAGCATTATAAAACATATAATGCTACAGAAAATATTAGCAATAATAAAAGTTATTCTTATTAATGGATAAGTTAATATAGTGATTATAGAGACAGGTGACGTGTTGTTTCATTGTTTACTCTATGTCACCCTATAGCTGCAAACTCTAATCTCTCCCAGTTCTCATAATCATACCCAGTTACTTAATGCTAAATGAACATTATACAGATTTGTATGAGAAAGCTTTGATTTTTTGTTGTCCATGTGGGTAAACCTACTGGCACATTCCATCAAAGCACGTCATCAAAGTTGTCTTTATTTTTCCTCGCTTGCCCAGAAAATGTAATTTTCACATCTAAATGGATTTTGGACAGCACTCTCCCAGTCATCAGTTTTCATTTTCCCTCTCTGTTTTCCATCTTCTGCTGGAACCAACAGCAAAAACAGCTCATACATATTGGGCTGTTTCATTATACAAAGTCTGGCCTTAAACCAATGTCCATCCATCCAAGTCAAAAGTAGTGGCATGCCATATTTGTTATTCCAGAAACATTTTAGCACATCAAGTGGCTGGGTCTTGCATTATACTTTATTATCAACATTGAGGGAAAATTAAGTAAATTTTATTGTGAAGTAAAGAGTAGATTAGGTATAAATTCACACACTGTATACAATAATAGCTATTCAAAATTAGATAAAACTTGAAATGACATTATCAAAAAAATGTTAACATTCTTTGAAAAACCTAAATAAAATTCCCTATTTTACCTTTTCACAACTGTAATCTGGCATACATGATTATCCACTATTTGACAAACTAAAGTGTAACTAACAAACCACTAAGACTTACTAATATATTTACCTTACTAGGGCTAACTAAAACTAAACCAGCCCTAAATGACTATTATTATAAAATGACATAAATTACACATTGAGAGAGTGAGTGTTGTGCATTTGCTTTGGCTTTGGTGCAGTTATGGATTACAGTTGCCATGAGGATTGTGGTTATAGAGTATGAAGAGAACATGTGCTTCTCCACTCACCACAAGCTGTTTGTGGGACAGATTTGGCACACTGCAGGCAGCTCCCTCTGTTGGTTTAAGCCTGGACGGTACATCCTTCAAAGATGTTTACGTGCACTGCATAGGACAGCTTTGTCATGAATTACCCACACCATCTTTCAGACACATGCTTGGATTTTCTTGGTAACATTTTTGTTTTGTTGTGGTGTTTCTGGGGTTCAGTGGTCAGTACAAACATGGTCCAAAGATGAACAGATGATGCATGTGGGGACTGGAGGATAGCTTGTGAGATTTGATCCAAAAGGCACATGCTCAAACTCTTCAGTGGTAATATCTAACAACGTTAGGACTGGACAATATTGCAAATATTTAGGAATAGCAGTTTTTCTATTTGAGATATTTGTCACCAAATATATACATAATAATTTCTTCATGTTGAGTTGCAGTATATGAATCAGAAATCCTTTAAAGGTGCAGTCAGTGTTAAACTGTCTTTAAAATACTATCTTTTATGGCCTCCTGTGATATGTCTATTGTTATATAAACCCTAGAGATGCACCATGTCAAAAACTAAAGACATGTGCTTATCCAATAGATCGATAACATAACAGATAATAAAGAAATAGGTTTTGTGTTGCTCAACCAACATTAATTTCTATTCAGTTTATCTATGTATAGCTCAAAATCACAACAGCAGCTGTCAATCAACAAAATGTTGATTTAACTAACAGAAAGTTATAAAATCAACCAGTGAAATTGTAATTTGTGAATAACAGTTCAAATCTAATTGTGATTTTACCATAACTGCAACATATGGTGAAGATGGATTTCATTTCCGGTTTATCCATCTATACACTGATTCAAAGTCAAAATGTCTACCCGTCACAATTTTTTTCTTATATAATACTCACACTTAATGTTGAAAGTTTGTTATATTCTTTATGCAGCCTGATAATAGTGAAGTCAGCTTTTTATGTCAGGCCCTTTCTCACCTCTCTGCCGCAGCACCCCACCTCGGAGCAGAACTGAACTTCTTCAAAATAACAATGAGAAGAGAGAGTTTGCCCCTGAGCGAAAATATTCGACATAAATGCAGTTTCTTAAAATCCAAGAGGGAGAAGGAGAGAAGCAGAGGGAGAGATAGAATGAGAGAGAGGGGGGGGGGGGGGGGGGGGAGAGCAAGAGAGGAAGAGTGACAGGGAGAAAGTGTAGCAAAGAGAGAGAATGAGAGATAGAGGGGAGAAAGAGATAGAATGAGATAGATAGAGAGAGACAGAAGGGGGTGATAGAGAGAGAGAGAAAAGGAGGGGAGAGTGATAGGGTGAAAGAGAGAGAAAGAGAGAGGAAATGATAGCAAAAGAGAGAGAATGAGAAGGAGAGATAGAGGGAGGGAGGGGGAGAGAGAAAGACTGATAGGGGGAGAATGAATAAGAGAGAGGTGGGGGGGAGAAAGAGGGGAAGAGAGCAACAGAGATGAAGAGAGAAGGAGGGAGAGAGTGTATGCAGTTGTGTTTTGCTGCAGCACCTCAGAAGACACTGTGGAGATGAGAGAGATTCTAATGAAGAGGGAAATTAGCCCTTGGACAGAAACAGACTGTGGGCAGGCAGAAGGTCTAATGTTACTTTACCGTAGCTTATGGTGCGTTCCAGTCGTCTGCAGGGATCAGGTTTTCCGAGTTCTGACTTGTACATGACGACTGGGATGCAATCTCAGAATTGATCCTCGGAATCTCTGAGACCACTGCAGAGTTTGAGTTAAAAATCCGACATGGCTGCACACTTTTTTGTCAGTGTGCATTGTGTCACCATGGTAACTAATGAACACGAACATAAAAGAGATACATGTAGGACCCCCAGCATGATGTATCAATAGTCGAGTCATTGTTTTTCTGACTTGAAAACTAAAACAGGCATCCAATGTTTAAGTCATAGATCACGTCATTCCGAGATCCAAGTTCCGAACTCCGAGAGCGACTGGAACGCAGCATTATAGAAGAATAGAGAGGAGTTTGGTGGTGCCATAATGAACTATGAAGTAACACTAATATGGCAATGCATCACAGCTCTCTTACACTAGATGACCCACTTAAACTGCTTTACAGAACAAGCTTTGTAAATGTGCACAGATATGCAAAGAAATGAAAAATGAAGACTATCGAAGTTTAAACTTAAAGGTTCTTAGGAGTGTTTTTATTTTACAAGCTTGCTATCTAAACCAAGGTAAAGTGGTTCTGAGGAAGGAATAACAATTGGATTAAACCAGGACTAATGCGCAAAGAAACTAAAATGAAAACTACATGCAATTAGTGTGACCACAGCATTTTTCTACCTCACTGTATTATATAAACCTCTTGAACAGTTTCACAACGGTGTTCATTAAAGGAAGGATAAGTGCTCTCTTACTAGTTTAAAGGGCCCATATCACACTAGTTACTGATCTGTGTTATAATGCTGTTTCTTCATCAGAAATATAGCTGGAATTTTCTTTTGTTACAATCACACATGTTTATCACAAACCCTGTGTATTTTGGCTAAATTTTTCTTTCAGACTGAAAACTCTCTCTTCCACCTTGTGATGTAATGTGACAATACAAGAAGTGCTCCACTGTGTTTTTAAACTCCACACACCTTCACTAGAATAATTTGGATAATTTCAATCCTGGGATTTTCCAAAATCTAGTGAACTAAAGGTAAAAGGAGTTGTTAACTTGAAAACTACCATTACATGACATCGCTGAGCATTTTGAGCTTTGGAGAAGTAGACAGACTAATAATGCAGCATTACTCAAAATGTCTGAACCATAGAGTGTATATATGGTTGGAGATAGCTAATGCGCTACCCGCCATGTGCCAAATAGGAAATTTGCAAGGAGGCTCTTCCGGCTCCTTCTGACCCAATTCTGGCTCCAATTGGGATCTTACATTGGGATCTTGTCACCCCTCTCTCTGTAACTGCTGCAGTGACCCTTGTCATTTAGGTCTTAAAATGTTTGTGTTAACAAATTTATTTATATTTGAGCTGCAGAGGCTGCACTAGCACTGAGTGAATATTGGGGGCAGGTGCTGGGTAGTGAGGACTGAGCTCAGTGAGAGAGCATTTTTAAACCAAATGGATTTCAGCATTGAAACTGGCACCCCAAAAGAGGGACTCTAATAATCTCTAAACTACCAAATAACAGCTATTTGTACTACTTTTGTCTCTGTCCTTTCCATAAAAAAGTAAAGGTATTAGGCTCTTTAATGTCTGGACTTGCTTGTTTGTTGCAGGAGTGTGCCTGGTCCTGGGCTGCATGATCTACCCTGATGGCTGGGATAGTGACACAGTGAGGAAGATGTGTGGGGAGCAGACAGACAAGTACAGCATCGGGGCATGTTCTGTCCGCTGGGCCTACATCTTGGCCATCATGGGCATCCTGGACGCCCTCATCCTCTCCTTTTTGGCCTTTGTCCTGGGGAACAGACAGGATGGGCTCATGTCCGAGGAGCTGCTGGCAGAAAGCAAGGGTGAGCAAGAGAGGCTCTGGCAAAATGTCTGACACGATGGGTTAATTTGGGGAAGGACCATACCAAGACAATTCAAAGTGACAAACTATTCCATCTTTTGAATGGTGAATAGTACTCAAAATGGTGCCTATAAACAGGATGCTGAAACCCATGAATATTAAATTGGGTTCATGTCATTTCATAACATTCCAGTGTGTTAAAAACGATAATGATGATGATAAATTGACCTTGTATCTCTACATATCTTTATAATTACTGGACATCATGAAACAAAATTTATCCCAAAGTTCAATGTCATCTCCATTATTAACACAAATGAACTAAGGTGAAGTAATTATACGCTATAAGGGATGACATTATTCAATCACAAAAGTGTGCTGTCAGTTGAAATCACTTTAAGACCTCTAGCAGCAGATTGATATTTTTCAGTTTCTTTCAAAAACAGTGACTCACCCATAGTCTTACATAGGCCTATTTTTTTTAATAACAAAAACAAAATTACTCATTAGTTGACAACATGGCCAACATGATATGATTTTAAGCTACATATTGATTTGCAGACCTAGCAGTACTATGTAACTATAACAGCATTTCATCTCTCAACTGTTTGGAGCATGTACACAACTTGTCAGAAAACCCTTTTGAATGGATGCAATTAATTAGAACCAAAATATAACAACATCTTCTCAAATAAAATATTTAAAACTAATGTTGCATATCTGAACTCTGAAATTGATAGCACACGCTTAAAGGTACAACAAATCCTTAAAAACAAGGTGACCCTACTATGAAAAACATGTTAAAGTTTACAAATCTTGAATTCATGAGTCCATAATTAGCAACATAGTGCAGCCTTGGCATAAACCAGGGCCCATAGTTTCTCTGGAGAATCCATGTTACACAGTCTATATGTATGAATAATTCAACACTATGCAAGTGCCATCTGTTGGTTGTTTTGTGCATTACAAGCTTACCAGGGTAGATGTATTTGACAAAGTGCTAAGTGAAAATCTATTTATAGCCTGACCTTGAGAGCTGGATTTTATAATAATTTCTTCAACATTTTATCTCTTTTTTTTTTGCAGAAGGAGGGAATGCCTAAACTGAATGGAATTGAAAGGTAAGCATAAACAATGTAATTTAAAGATACATTATGTAACATTTCTGATGGGGAGTTTGCCCCTTGTTTGTCTCAATGGAACTGTTACTGAGTGGCCTAGAATGTTTCACAGTATATCATTAAACATACTACTATAATTTTGCATTTGATCAATTACAAGTGTTTTTATTGCTGCAAAAATTTTGAAAAACATATTCTTATAGCTCTGACCTGTTTACTTGTCTCTATGGAGATTTAAAGTGAACCTATAAGGCAAAATTTACTTTTTAGAGCTTTTAACCATGTTATATTTGTTTTCCCTTATTATTTACCCCCTGATGGTTGTATTTAGTGTGATTCAGGTATGTTTGAGTCATTTTTATCCACTTTTTATATAGCATCTGTACTTACTTTGTTCTACAATTTTATTTTCTTAATCAGTGATATGCATAGGATTCAGCAGCATGACAGGGTCATTTTAGTATAATGAAAATGGTCCTGTCAGCTGCCATAGATTATAACTATAGCAGACACAAGCACAATATGTTCTTTAATGCTATACTGTGGAGCATTCCAGGCAAAGCAATAACATTTCCATCCCCATTAGAAAGGTTACACAGTGCACCTTTTACGTAACCTTTTCCAGACAAATGCTAATATTATTTTTCTTTTAGATTGGAGTCCTTCTTGGGTCCGTTTACAAAAGTCCCATATCATCATGTTAGCAAAGCCTGCCTCAGTCACTCACGAAGGTGGATATCTTTGGACCAGCCAGCAGCCTGCCTTGTACATTTATCTGCCAAAAATGAAACTACAACAAGATGTCATTGAAATCTGCCTGTATCCCGTCCAAACATTTTGACTTTATAAATGTGTGTGTTAACTAAGTCCGAGTCCTTGCACAAAATTGCGTAGACCATGGCAGGGGCAAAGACTGTTATCGATGTAATGTAGATGTGAGGACTGCCCACTACCTAGAACTGTGTAGGATCAGGGTACAGATAAGCCACCTGCAACATGAGCACAGACACACACACTCTAGGCCAGTGGTTCTCAAAATCTGGTGAAAGTACCACTGGTGGAACTACTCATGGTACTCAACAACTCACATTTAGTTTGAATTTACTCCTGTGTTTGACCTGCTCTGGGTGCTTAGTTCTATAGATTTGTTCTGTCCTGTTTTAGTCCCATTATTGTTCTTACTTAGATATAGACTATTGTAGTTTTACTTATAGTTATGTCTTGATTATAGCTGGTTTAGTGTGATCCTAGGTTTTGCATTGCTAATCCTATATTAATCCCACTTAACACTCAAGTTATTCCTCCATGTGTTTCAGTATAATGAAAAGTTAGGGACATTGTTATAACAATTGACAATTTAAAACAAAAAGATCTTTTGAATTGCAAAAATTCCTCAAAATGTCATGGGTTTCAGCTTCCTGTTAGCTGGAACATTTGTTTTAATTGTTCATTGCTACAGCAACAGTCACAAGTTTTCATCAGTCTGAAACCCATGGATAACAGGAAGACATGAAGTAGATTAAATGTCTTTTATTCCTGCATGGATTTTATTAATAGTTTTGCCTATTCAGATTAGATAAAATTATTTTGTATATTTGGTTTACACTTAGTTTAGACCTGATTAGTCTAGTAATGTAAGCCATGATATAGACCAGGCATGAGTAAGAATATTGAAAGCCAAATATTGTAGTAAGGGTTATTTGAGAATCACTGCACTAGGCCATATACAAAACACACACTTTGTAATTATAAATATTGAAACTGTCACTGACTTCTCTGTGCACATCCATCTGAATGTGTGTCTAGTTTTAGTTGGGGAAAAAACTGCCCATTTTATGTCAATATTAACCAGTTGTGTTGCATTGCATATAGAGGGCTAAAATTGTTTTGCTCATAAGCCACTTTTCATTTGCAAAAAAGAGACTGTTTTATAACAATATTATGACAAAAAAAAAAACTTGTACATTCAATATCTGTAAGACATTTAGGATTTTAAGTCATTCAAAGGCCTGCTTGCTAAATTTGCACAGTGCTTCAGTTTCAGAAAAGAACATTTTCTAGTTTGTGGTATATAAATATAAAATATTAAGGATATCTACACTGTGATTGGGGATAGGAAGACAGTTGCAGGATGAACGGAGAATGTGTGTGTAAAATTGTGCATGAGAGCGTATGTTATTGGTAATAGTTTGCTGGGCTAATAAGCCTAAATGCCAGCATCACAAAAGTTGTCCTGCCATGTAGCTGTATATTGTATTTTTGTGTCTATCTCTCTCTTTCCCTTTGCGTATCAGTTGGGACATACAGGGTAAAAATGGCAGAGATTGTGTACACATGGTAGCCCAATTACTGAAGAAAGATTGTCCCAGCTTCACTTGTGCATATGTGTAAATAGATATATAGATAGAAATGCATTATTATATGTTATTATAAAGTTATAGGCAAAGAATTGAAAGGATTCCTATATATATATAAAAATATATATTAAACATTTAAATTAAAGTTTTCATTGTAAATGTTGTGTTCTGTGTTTTTTTGTTTTTTCTTTTCTTTTACAGCATACCTACATAGCAGCTCAGTATCCTAAAGGGTCTACATTTAACATTTAAGCATATGATTTTGTGTACTCTTGTCTCTCAAGAATATGACTTTTTAAAAAGATTAAGTAGCCCATTCATGTCTAACAATAGGCCTCTCTGTTATCCAACTCACATGTTTAGGACCTCATGTGATTTGAATGAGTAGTAGAGGTATAAAGAGAAAAAGGGTTAAGCTCTTATCAATCAGAACACCATTAGAGCTTAAAACAAATAAAGTTAGAGTTAAAATGATGCAGAAAGAATTACCATCAAGACAAATTACACTCACACAAGTGACTGTAAACTAAATGTGACTGAATAACACATTCAGCCTACTCAGAACATTACAAAATATGGTATATGTGTAATGTATAGATGTATAAGGCAATCTAGTTGAAATGAAAGGGCCCATCTTACACTATTTTCTGATTTATGTTATAGAGTTGTTTCCTCATCAAAAACATGCTGAGAGGTGTGTTTTGTTTCATTCACATATTTAACACACAAATCCTGCACATTAAGGCTGAGATCTTCTTTCAGACAGACAAACACTTTGTTTAACCTTGTGATGTCATGTGGTAATACAAGAAGCACTCTGCTGTTTTTAAACTCCACACACCTTCACTAGAATAAGTTTGATCATTATGCCAAGTTTGATTCATTTTGCCAATCTCTGCTAAACAAAAGGTAAAAGATCACTATTAATTTGAAAACTACTGCTTCATAACATCATAAGGCAAGGCAAGGCAAGGCAAGTTTATTTGTATAGCACAATTCGTACACAAAGTAATTCAAAGTGCTTTACAGAATAAGAAATACATTAAAATCATAATAAAAACAAATCAAAACATAAATAATCATGAAGATAAAAATTTAAAAAGAGAGACATAAATTGGAGAGAAGAGTGCGGAATGAAAACCTTTCAGTTATATGCACAGTTAAACAGAAATGTTTTGAGCCTGGATTTAAACAGCATCACAGAAGAGTCTGTCTCACATGTTCAGGAAGACTGTTCCAGGTTTTAGCTGCATGAACCTGAAACGCTGACTCCCCTTGTTTAGTCCTGATTCTGGGCACCAGCAGGAGGCCGGTCCCTGAGGTCCTCAGAGTGCGAGATGGTTCATATGACACTAACATGTCACAGATGTACTTTGGTGCTCGGCCATGGAGAGACTTGTACACAAGCAGAGCTGTTTTAAAGTCTATTCTCTGAGGCACAGGAAGCCAGTGCAGAGACCTGAGCACAGGACTTATGTGCTCGTACTTCCTAGTTCGAGTAAGGACCCGAGCTGCAGCATTCTGGATGTTCTGCAGCTGTCTCACAGCTCGTTTGGAGAGACCAGTGAGCAGACCATTACAGTAGTCTAATCTACTGGAGACAAACGCATGGATAAGTTTCTCCAAGTCTACTTTAGACGGTAAACCTTTGATTTTTGCTATGTTTTTTAGATGGTAAAAGGCTGCAGATGTTATTGATTTGATGTGGCTGTTAAAGTTCAAGTCTGAGTCCATTATTACCCCTAGATTTCTTGCCTGATTTGAAGGTTTTAGAGAGAGAGACTGGAGGTGACTGCTGACACTGTCCCTTTGTTTCTGTGGACCAAAGTCTATGACTTTAGTCTTGTCAGAGTTTAGCTGGAGAAAGTTGTTTTGCATCCACACATTGATCTGTTGGATGCAGTGACCAAGTGAGTCCACTGGTCCATAGTCTCCTGCTGCCAGAGAGACATAGATCTGAGTGTCATCTGCATAATTGTGGTAGGACACATTATTGCTGCTTATTAACTGGCCTAATGGCAGCATGTAGAGATTGAACAACAGGGGGCCCAGGATTGACCCCTGAGGCACCCCACAGGTCAGGGCCATGTGATCTGAGACACAGTTTCCAATTTCAACAAAATACTTCCTGTCTTCTAGATAGGACTTGAACCAGTTTAGTACAGTACCAGAGATGCCCACCCAGTCCTCTAGTCTCTGTCTGTAAGAGAATCCCATGATCGACAGTGTCAAAAGCAGCACTCAGATCTAACAGGATCAAGACTGAGACTTTGCCTGCATCAGTGTTCAGGCGGATGTCATTTGTCACCTTGATAAGAGCAGTCTCAGTGCTGTGGTGGGTTCTAAAACCTGACTGGAAAACATCAAAGGAGTTGTTCATTTGGAGAAAGTTCGTAAGCTGTTGGTAAACAGCTTTTTCAAGGACTTTGCCAAAAAACGGCAGATTTGAGATGGGTCGGAAATTGTTCAGTACTGTGGCATCAAGACTGCTCTTCTTTAGGAGAGGCTTAATGACCGCAGTTTTCAATGCATTTGGGAATGTTCCAGATTGAAGTGACATGTTAACTATGTGAGTGAGTGGTGAAAGTAAACTGTTGAGGACGGACTTTAGAAATCTAGTGGGTAACATGTCCAGGCAGCAAGTAGATGAACTCAGACTGGTAACAATCTCTAAAACAGTTTTGTCAGTTACAGGTGCAAAGTGATTCAGCTCTAAGTGTCTCTGTGGCTGCATGCTTGTTATTTGTGTTGTGGAATTGATGGCATTTTTTTTGCCCTGAACTTTGTCATTAAAGAAAACTGCAAACTCATTACATTTAGATGTGGAAATTAGTTCTAGTGGCAGTGGAGGGTTTGTTAATCTGTTCACTGTTGCAAACAGGACACGAGAGTTGTTACTGCAATTACCAATAATGTCCGAAAAATACTTCTCTCTTGTTTTACTCAAAGTGTAGTTGTACATATGCATTGTTCCTCTGTAAATCTCATAATGAACCTGGAGGTTTGACTTGCGCCATTTCTGCTCAGCCTTCCGGCACTCCCTTTTCTGTGCTCTGACTGAGTCATCATTCCTCCACGGAGCTTTTTGCCTATCTTTAACCATTTTAACCTTTATCGGGGCGATGGCATCCAGAACATTCAAAACACTCAAAGTCACAGAGTTCAACACATCATCAACATTAGAACATGAGGCAATTTCAAAATGTATCATTTATATGAACAGTGCACCTGTGTTATCATTTATGTGTCTCCTTCGAACAACTGTAGGAGCAGCCGGTGGTTTGGGAATAACAGACAGGTCAAAGAAGACACAGAAATGATCAGACAGAGCAACATCAACCACATTGACATTTGAAATATTTACACCCTTTGTAATGAGCAGGTCCAGAGTGTGCCCTCTGTTGTGAGTGGGCTCACTGACATGCTGAGTCAGTCCAAAAGTTTCAAGGACAACACTAAGCTCTTTGGCATTTTTGTCACACACATTATCCACATGTACATTAAAATCACCTGTAATGACTAAACCATCAAAGTCTGTGCAAACAACTGAAAGCATCTCAGTAAAATCATCAATAAAACTTTGACAGTGCTGAGGAGGTTTGTATATGACTATGAAGAGTATGGACGGTGATTGTTTTAGCTCCATTTTGAAGGAAACATACTCAAATGATGAAAACACCCCAAATGACAACTTGTGTGTAACCAAATGATCTCTAAAAAATGCACACACTCCTCCACCCTTTTTATTTGCTCGTGTTTCAGATTCAAATTTGAAGTTGAGAGGGGTTGATTCCACTAGCACTGCACGACCTGTGTTTTTGTCAAGCCATGTTTCAGTTAAAAACATAAAGTCAAGATTAAAAGAAGAAATAAAATCATGAATTAGAAATGATTTGTTACATAAAGATCTGACATTGAGCACAGCAAGTTTCTGCTTAGTTTCAGTAGGACTGGATGTTATCTCCTTACAGGGAATGTGAACTAAATTTCTCTGATTAGACAGTCTAACTGTCCTTCTTTTAATCCGTCTATGTGTTGTAACTGGAGATATAGCTCCATCGCAGGGCCCCAGCTTGATATTACCTTTATCATGACTGTATGTCCTGGGACAGCAGAGGCCCTGTGCGTCCTAGCTCTTGGTGATAACAGCTCTGGGGAAAGGCGGGGGAGGGCGAGCAGGGGAGAGTTTGGGTAAGGGCCGAGGAGGTGGAATACAGGGAGGTTTGGGTGAGGGGAGAGAGCATAAGGTGCAACAGAGCAACTCCAAGTATGTGTCTGATGAGGTAACATTATAACATGGCTTAAAGCTCACAAGAATCTGAAAATATTGAGCAATATAGGACTTTTAAATGAAAGAAGTGTCATCAAGGTGAAAAAAGAAAACAAGACCATTAAATGGAACCCTGTATTGATTAACTTAACTAAGACTAAAAGTGTCTCTTACATTGTACTTTAAGCATAGACAGTGATTTGAAGTAGACCTTGCACATTTATAATTGAGAAAATATGTAGACAGTATTGTAGCGGTATTAAGCAATTACTACACTTTCCCTTTAAGAAACCGAGCGGGATTCAAACCTTGGCCCCGCCCACAGACCATCAACGCGGAAACCGAAACTAAACACATATTAGACAAACCAAAATGGGAGCGTCGTTGGACACCCCAGCGAAGTGTCCCTTGTGCAACGAGCTGACCCGGGACCCCGTTACCCTCAAGTGCAATCACCGCTTCTGCCAGAAGTGCATCGGGGACTTGTGGAGCATTTGTCCGAACGGCCCGTACCACTGTCCCGAGTGGAGGTGTAAAACAGTCTACCATACGCTCCCGTTTGATCACAACTTGATACGACGCAAGCAGCCCAGCCAAAGTCCACGGCCTTCCCCGCGCAGCAATGCAGGTGCGACGAGAATACACGTGTAATTAAGGCTTTAGTCGGGTTTTGCAAATGATGCAGGCTGTAAAAACGTCCAGATTATTATGTCGGTCGCCAGAAGATGTCGCTTTTCATGGTTGCACTGTTTTTTTCGCAGATGAACAGCTACCTTCCAAAGTACAGTCTAAATACGCTTTACATCGATGTGAAGCTAGGGAAAATATTTCTGATGATATTGTGGTAATTGCCGCTCAATTTCAGTCAGGTTCTCAAGCAGAGTTTGAAGAGAGATATTGTGATTTGCAAATCAAATATTTTTGCAGGAAGTACCTAAGCCGTGTTACAATTACGAGATCCAATCTTTACACAGAAAGATGGAAGTGGGATAATTAATTTCCTCTTTATTTGACCAAATAGCAAGTTGTCTATTGTAAAAGAGTACCTTGAACCACCAGGGCAAAACATTTTACTAGTATTCTATTACTTTTGAAGAAATTGTTGAAAGAAAATGTTTCAATTTCTATTATTGTTCATACATTGGTTTAACAATTTATTTTAGCCGGGTGTGAGCAGAGTACATTAATTAGTCTAAATTGGGCTAGGCTACAAGTGGAAAATGTGTTTAATCTGTTAGATTTGTCTTCAGACGTAAACATAATACTCAGCATTTTCTACTAAAAAGAAATCATGCTGTCATCAGAAAAGGGCACCTGGATAACTGCACCTTGTGCTGGCCAAAATCTTTTTTTATTATCATGAAAAATATTTTCATGTTTTGTTCTATTTCCAGACACCTCCAAAAATAATGAACAAACCACCACAACCAGCACCCCCCTGGGTCGGCCCTCCCTCTCCAGTCGCCTGCTCGGTAAAAGAAAGGCCAGTGGTCCAGTTGTAGATGCACCAGAGACGAAAAAATCAAATGTGTCACAGAAAGAGAAGTCCTGTGACACTCCAAGCATTTCCTTGTCTGATGAACCTGGTGTGGAGACCATCGAAGAAGCACCTGGCCAAAACCCCGTCCCATCCACATCAACCGCACAGTCCAGTGACACCTCTGAAAGTAAAAACAAACCTGCAAAAATTACCCAAGAAGAACCCTCTGTCATTGTTGTTGAGCATAAACCAGAGGTTATCACTTTGGATCAGTCTGACAGTGAAGTAGATATATGTGATTCACCTTTGCCCAAAACAGTCCCCCAAAATCATCCATCACCAAGGAAAGCTACTCCCACCTCCACCCCATCCCGCACAACTGCCACTCCAAAACAAAACGATTCAAGTCACGCTAGCCCACGTCCAACACTGTTCAGCGCACACCGGGTTGGTCCTTCAGACTCCACTAATTACACAAACGTCTCACCTCGTTCTGAAAGCAACAAAAACAAGCAAATACCATGCAATTACTGTCCAAAATTAGCATATCAATTTGCGGTGAAGACATGCTTGGTGTGCGGGGCATCCATGTGTACAGAGCACCTGCAGCCTCACTTGGACCAGGCCGTGTTTCAGAATCATACACTGGTTCCCCCCATTGAAGATACATCACTATGGAGATGTCAGGAGCACCAGGAGATGAACCGCATCTACTGTCGCCAGTGTGGGCTGTGTGTGTGCACCGTCTGTACCGTCATAGGATCTCACCGTGACCATGTCTGCATCAGCATCAGGGAGGCAGAAAGGGAGCTGAGGGTAAATACATGCTTTTACCTCATTATGTTTGAATAGTCCTGTCGCCGTTTTTTATTTATTTATTTTTTTTCAGTTTTGATATAGACAAAAAAAAAAATTATAATAATAAATAGGCAAAAAGCAAAACAAAAATCCTTCCACACCCCACCACTCTCTTTACACTGAATACATACACACAATGATACAAAAAACACTAGATACGCAAACATCAACTGTCAATCAAGTCCAGTAATTTCTAAAAGTGTAAAAAAGGTGTCACAATAACTCATTTTTGAGTGTGACATATTGCTGAAATAAATATATGTATGATGTTACTGAAATCAAACCATAAAGTAGAATTATCCACAGAAAGGAATTCTAATGTACAGATACAATATTGTTAAATATTGTTGAGCTGCAATAAATAAACAGCTGAATTCAACAGTTAAGTAAGTAATTTATGATTTTTGTTCATAATTCATCCTTTTACAGCTCAAATCTTATGTTACAAGAAAAATAACCCTACATTTTGTACTCATACAAAGAAAATGTACACATAATAAATATTGATCCCAAAAACTATTCTTCCATCCATCATACTTGTATATTGAGTCAAAAGTCGACATAGTAATTATTGTGACAGGCCTATGTCCAAATACTAGTAGCATTAACTGGAGTTGGTACTTATTCAGCTTTCAAGCCATTCCAGTACTTGTATAATAAATGGTTTACAATACTGGTGCTAGAATTATCCTTGTTTTGATATCAGCGCTAACTGGGGTTGATCATTACCTAGCCATACTAACATAAAACTAACATAAAAAACAAATTATAACCTTCATAAATTAATTAATAAACAATTTATTTGAGCTAAAGTTTATGTATGAAGTGTAATTATTATTATTTATTTGTGTTTGTACTGTCATGTAACTCTACACAGCTCCCATGTTTTAAAACTTGGCACTGAAAGAAAAAAAATGTTTAGATAGTGCAGAGATCTTGTTTATTAAGATACTTAATCCAAGGCATTTCCTTTTTGTTTCTTTTCAGGGAAATCTTAAAGAGGAGATCAGGCAACTGCAGGAGGCCGAGCAAAATGTCAAGCACTCAGTCTCTGAGCTGACACAAAAGAAGGAGGAATTTGAAGTAAGTCGGTTTTATTTAGAACTTCAAAAATGGAAATATATTGACATTATATTACTTCTTATTTAACTTTAGCCAGTGTAACCAATATTTTTAAAACTACTTTTATTCTGATGAACTGGTCTTTAATTTATCTAGCAATGTATTATTGACTTACATGAAATGAAAAAAGTTATGAATTTAGCTGGAGATTTATAATATGAATCAACGTCTTGTTCAATGGCATTTCCTATCGTGGGACACTACAGGAAATGATTGGCCTGTTTTAACCCTATTCTCACTAATACACCGTTTTTTTTTTCTCCAATTGTTTTATTATGAAAAATATTGTGTTGCATTTGAAAGGTCTACCAACTTGATCAAATTTTCTTGTATTATCAAAGCCTGTAAATTATGGATCCCCATGTCCTTCAGTCATCTAAATATCCCTCCTCGGTCCTCAGATGATTTTTGCAGAGGCGCACTCAGGAGTGAAGCAGCAGTATGGAACGATCAGAGAGGCTTTGGAGCAGGAGGAGCAGATGGCCCTGCAGTGTGTGGCCCAGGAGGAGAAGAAAGTCCTGGGGGGATTAGAAACCAAACTTGGGCACCTTCGGAGCTCTCTTCAGTCCATCCAGAAAGGCCTGCACTCCCTGGAGGGACTGGCTGATGCGAAAGGGGAAAAACGCATACAGGACCAGGCTTTCATAATGGTGAGTACACTACATGGAAATCACATTTTAAATTGAGTTTAGATGCCTGTATTAAACTCAGTGTTTTGTGTCTTCATCTAGGAATATGGAAAAGTAGCACAAATGTAAGTATTTCATGCCTTTGTATTCTGCTTTTAAACTGACAATATAATACAGGACAAGATCTCATGCCACCAGTTTTTGCGAGACAAAATTGACACAAGATTGAGAGCACATGTGGAGCGCACATGTCAAGTTATTTTGTGAGACACTTGACTTGGACAAAGAAGTTAAGAGTTAGTCTCTTGAAAAGTTTTATTTTCAAAAGTACTGCTAAAATAACAGCAAAAAAAATAATAATAACAAATTATTATTATTATTATTATAGTTGTTGTTGTTGTTATTATTAGGGAATACTTCTGTTTAATTTACATTTGGCACCAACAGAATGGGTGTTTTGGGTTACTTGTAATAATCAATTGTATCCTCTTATGCATTTCCACAGGGCTAGTGCAATGGGCAGCTGTGTGGAGCAGTTTGAAGCTCCTGAGGAAATAAACCAGGCTAGGCTTCAGTGTTTGCAGAAATGGACAGAGAAACGCTTGGATAATGTGGTCATCACAATGCCAGGCAAAGATCGAGATCTGTACAGCCTGCTCTGTGAGTTTCACACACACAACTCAGATTACACAACTGTCCTTTAACAGCTGCAAGCTCATCACCAGCATCCAGGTCAACTGTTCTACCATATATTTATTAAAAAACAATAATCCATTATATGACTTTGAACAGCTATTTTTGGCATACTTTAAATCTATTTATGTAAATTAAGATTAAGGTAAATTCAAACCAGGTATTAACTTCACAACAAAGTCTTGCGTTGTCACTTTTTATGCAATGCAAAGCATCTTTCTCCAGTGGAAAATTATGTTGACAAACAAAACAAAGCAAGAAAGCAAGCACTGATAAGTTACATTTTGAGAAGCCACTCTTAAAAAAAATATTTCTACAGTGACAGCAATATTAACTGATCTGCACAGTTCATTTATTATGTCAAAATCTTATCTTGTTCTTTTGGACCCAATCTCTTATCTCATCTTCTGGGTAATGTCTCATCCCATCCCTACTGAATACTGTGTTCTGTTAAAAACTCTACTAATTATTATTCCACAGCCAAATGTCTCTTTTTACCTCTGTCCTTTAATTACAGATTTAATTATTAGATTACACATGACACAAGTTTAATTCATGCAGAAAAAAATCTTCTAGTTATTGTTTAAAGAACACAGCTTATCAAACATAAGGTCTCACAGCCTTCTGAGAACTGGTGATGACTTATGCAATTACTCATCATCATCCTCCCATGTTTCCTTGTGAACAGATGGCACCATTCCAGTCCTGGATGAAGATTCAGCACATCCCAAGTTGCATTTATCCGAAGACAGACATACCGTGACCTACAGCGAATCGCAGCAGCCCTATACAGACCACGAGTCGCGCTTTTCATCCTTTCCTCAGGTTTTAGCTCTTACCAGCCTGGACAGTGGCCGCTGGTATTGGGAAGTCAAGGTATCTGTGGATGATGGTCGTTGGAAAGTAGGAGTAAGCGAGGGGCGAATTGAAAGAAAAGGCCAGAAAGACAGCTCACGTTTGGGCTTTAACTCCTACTCCTGGTGCCTGGGTTGTGATAGGAAAAAGGTGGAGGCTATACATAACAAAGTGGCTACTCCCATCAATGCTGAGAAGCTTGAGAGAGTGGGTATCTTTCTTGATTTTGGAGAGGGTGTGTTGTCATTCTTTAACGTGACACCAGGGGGCAGTCTTGTATTGATGCATTCTTACACGCACCAGTTCAGCGACCCAGTTTATCCTGCATTCTCTGTGTCTAAAACAAATATCACTATCGCAGATTTGTTCAGATCATAATTCACTTAAAAATAGGACAAGGAAATTGTAGTTGACATGTTGAGAATGCATCAAAGCACTGTGCCTTTTATCTCATCTCATATTTTATAGTCTGCACTGTAATCATGACATTCCTGACTCACTGGGACCATTATACTCTTCACATGGCATCTCTAATCGTACTTTAATGTTTTTTATGTCTCTATAATGCATTCAGGCAATATTTTAAAGATTCACAGTTAAGTTGACATTTATTCTTACCCTAGTTAGATTGTCATTGAACTCTACTCTACTCATCACTGCATTTTTAAGATAATATACATAGTTGCAAATATATTAAAGAGAGACATTATTTTCATTGAACATCCACACAAAGAGATCCCTGTTCAATGTGCATATGCGATAGCAACCACATATTGTTTATCACAGCTGAGATGTATAATTGTTGTATTTTTCCCACTTTTTCGCTTGGCTTGGCTGCTTCAGTTTTGATCCTGTTCCAATTCCAGCCATTCATACCACTGGGTTTTGTTTTAGATGGTGCGTTGCTTAGCTAGTTTAGGGTATGAATATATTTGACTTTAAAATTATATATTTTTGTACCAATAAACCTATAGATTTTAATCAGTGTTAATCTTGTTCAAATATAAATTATGTTGTCATTCCTTTTTTTTTAATTTATTTTTTTAATCAACTCTTGTTTTTAATCTGAGCCCATATGCAAGTGTATTTTTCAAGCAACAAAAGTGACATGAAATGAAAATAAATCTTACATATCAATCCATATATGGCATTTCCTGCTTTCACTTGTAAATAGCAGCACAGGTGTCTGAGTGGGACTGTTTGCCCTCATAGGTGACAGTTGCTGGGCTAACTTTGAACTCATCCTGCCCCCACAACATGTGAGATTTACTGACAACAAACAGACTGCTTTTGGCATAATGTCCCTCTGGCGTCACACTAACTGAACCTCCACGTCCTCCACACAAAATTTAGACTCATTAAATCTGACTGAGGAGGCTGTGCGCTTGACATCACGGCGAGGGGATCAAAGTAATGTTTGGGCAGACTCTGGTTGAGTGGAGAGTAAAGCACCAGCATGCCTGTGTTTCAAAAGACAGCTGGCTCTGATCTACATGTATCTGGGTTTGTTGACAAAATGGTTGCTATGTCATTTTAATGATTTACTGCAGAACTATTGTTATTTTGCCAGGTGCTGCACTGACTTATGTGAACAGAAATGGAGCAAGTAGTATAAGTCCTTACATGGTCAAAAGTGTAACCTAGTGGGTTTCAGATGACATTATCACTTTGATGACTTTGATTACTCACAATGATATTTATATTTTTGCCAATAATGATTCATGTTAAAGATGGAAGGCAGGTAACTTGCTTCTTTTTTTCAATAGCCTAGTTCCTACTAACATATGATACTATGATTTGACCTCCACCTTGCTTTAAATATGATATTTTTGTTTGGGCAGATTTGATCACATTCCTTCAAGGTCTTCTAAACATCTATGAGTGAGGGCGAAGTGGTTGTTACATATACATACGAGACAGATTTTGGTTTGCTTTGGTTATCTCAGGTCTCAGCTGTCTGACAGGGCAGGATATGAGGAGGCAGAAGAAGCCCTCATGGTAATTAAATTCCCCTCTCCTGGCGGTCTACTGATCCCTCGCCCTCGCCTATGCACACTGGTTACCATAAATGATGTGAGGAAATACAGCTCACTGACGCCAGGTCAAAAGTTAAAGTTGGCCCCCCTCAACCAAAAGTCAAACTCCAACTTTGTCTATGCTCCTTTCCTTCCTCTTCTTCATGAAGAACAGGAGCTTCACAGCTCAATTTTTTTCTTTTGTACTCCACCTTTAAAAAGCCAACAGATTTTAAAATACACTTTGTGTAGTTTGGCCAGGCTGAGAGTCAAAGCTGCAATGTAAAGTGAAAAGTCAAAATGCCACTAAAGGGTTTCTAAATGAGCAGGCTAATAGTCTAATAAAAATGTATAAAATAGGACCATTGCAATAGCAAAGTCCTCAAAGTAGAAGCAGATATCCATTTTTAAAATATGAGAAACCCAAAGTAAACAAGGGACATTCTTGATGTGAATGTCATTATTACAAAACTTTGAGCTTGTCTTTTTTATATCACTTACACATACATAGTCTATACTTTATACTGCATAAATATTGATACAATCGGCCATCTTGCTGCCTGAATCTGCAGACATTAGTGTTCTTAATGGGACAGATTCCTGTGAGCCTAGATAGTGTTTGATGTTGCGCCTTGTCAAAATATCTTGCATAAGATTTCCACTGGAATCACCCGTCTAAGGCATGTCCCCATGGACTATGCACAGCTATATGTTAACATGTCACTGAGGTGGTGAGAAGTGCAGTCTTAAAGCAGCTTTTACCTTTCACAGAGACTCTGATCTCTGATGATTTATTGTAATTAAAAGGTAAAGGGAATAAATAAGATATGCACAGATTGGCAGTCCAAGTGTTTTTCCAGTCAATATTTAATTAAAACCCATTCAAAGCTGGCTTGTGCATTAAGACTGATGTGTAGTTGAAGATGAGAAAGTGCTCTCTTGTCTCTATCGGAGCAGAGTGATAAAAGCTTTAGAGTAGGTCTAATTTAGAAAGCCTTGAAGACGGCGCCTCTTTAGATTGAACGCTTTTACCTCTTGTCTTTGTTGCCAGGTGCCGCACTGAAGCATAAATCATTGACATTTGAAGTTAAACTAGTGAACCTTGTTTTTGAAATGAGTTATTTGCAGAATTTACTGTCCCCATTTAGAATGATAAGTAGAATTTGAGTTAAACCACTTGAATACACACATAATGCATGACTGTCTATCACTTAAGTTTAATTTAGCACAATTCTAAAGTAAATGTCAGTCAGATTAGAGACTGTAGAAGAAATATGAACTGTCCGACCAGCAGGGCCTGTAAGTGTAAAAGATGTCAGAAGCTAATAGGATATATGCAAATGAGTGTTTGTTTAAAGCGTACAAATGATTGTGCCATCCACTTTAGCAGCTCGTCTGGAGACGCCACAGACATGACAACCTTGTATAATTAATATGTTATCTCCCGTATGACATAAGCACGAGCCCCAGCCTTAATTAGATTTATGTCAGAAATAGCAAACATGCGCTTTTCTTTTTCCTTCATATATGGAACATTTGCCAAGAGACAGGTTTAAACAGAACCAAAAGGAAAAACAAAAGCTTTTATTTTTTTGTATACCAAAGTTTAAAAAAGAGACATAGATATTTTGGACAAAAATGCTTCCAGTTAATGAAAATGTTAATCCTTGAAATATGATTTTTAAATAATCATTATAATCGTATTATTGGGTTTCCAGTATGCAAGGCTATCAGCAGCTGACATGCCAGCCATTTACTTCTTTTGACAGATATCTCCATTTTTCAATAGATTTGAGCTGGGCACATTTGGCACATTGAATATTTATATGATTAAGTCCATGCACAGATAAATCATTCATTCAATCATTTATTCTGAAAATATCAAATATAGCCAAACAAATTAAATAATGGCCATCTTTTTTAAAAACTTTGTTCTAAAATCATTCTAAAATCAACCAGTTCTAATTTACTGCATATAAACATGCCACTTCCGTCAAATGTTTGCACTCTCCTATCCCCTTTACCCAGGATGCCTTGTGACCCCATCCTCCGTTGCCATAGTAGCGGGGTGCTCAGGTGATTGGGTGCCTCACGTGTTGAACCGTGTCAGACCTGGCACGGTCCATAGAAATGTGAGACAGCACCGCCACAGGCCTTTAGTGGAGTGACAGATCCATTCTTTGGCCTCAGCCCTCAGGGAAAACCCATTTACATTTACACTGGACTCTGAACCGCAGACAGGGTTACACACCATCATCTTCTTGTCCCTAACTCAAATCATGTAACTCGTACACGGATACACACACACACACACACACACAAAATCAATATGTTGTACAGATCTCTATTATATTCAGCAATGGTGGCATACTTAAATGAGTACTTAAAAGAAGTAAGTAAAGTTCACTACTATATATTCTTCCACATCTGCAGCTATTTTATAGTACTAAGCTTTAACTACTTCTTCAACTATTACTACAATGAACTACCAATACTACTTCTACTGATACTAGCACTACTACAAATTCTTCTGTTATTACTATGACTACTAATCTCACAATTCTCTACTAATATTACCACTGCTAAGGCTTAATTTGATTTGATTATATCATATAATGATGATAGAGATTCAGTAACTATTTTTCTCTTTTCCCTTGCCTCATGAAACCAGTCCAAAAGCTGAAATCTAACTAATTTAAAATTTAAGACAGCCTACTGCATTCTGGCAATAAGCAAATCCCACTTAAAAATAGAGAAGAGACGAAGGAAAGAAGGAGCAGGACCCGAGTAAAAATGCATTCTGTTATGTACAATAAACAAATGCAATAACAGAGCACCTGCCATTCATAATTCATAGAAAAACACTACTACATTGTTCCTGTGTTGCGTGGCTTCACTCTTGTGCTGTCTGCAGTCTCTAACCTGTCAGCTCTGTGAGATGAAAATAGCTCCTGTCTCTGCTCAGATCCTCCCTCTCATCTTCTGCCCGTCTGCCCGCTCTGTTCTGCATCCCTCCACCACACTGTAAATTCTTTATGATCCTCCTTTGGTTAGTGTTGGGCCAGTATTCAAAGACAGAAATAGAGGAAACAAGATTTCACTCCACTAGTTTTAGAAGAAGAAATAGAACTACTATGTCTGTTCAGGGCTGAGTGATATGACCAAAAAAAAACAAACATATTTTTTATTTATATTGACCAATCCAGATTCGGATTGAACAAAGTATAGAGTTTCAATGAACATTTGACATTTTAAATAGTAAAATTTCTTCCTCCATAGTCTGAACTCTGCCCAAACCTCATGCTTTTAATGACTTGATTAGAAACACCCAAGATGATCATTGATGATTAGAAATGACAGAATCTTAATCTCAAATTTTATGAGTTTACATCGATAATCTACAAATTCAGTGTTATCCCAGTCTATCCTAATGGTAACTAGAGCCCGACCGATATGGATTTTGCTGTGGCCGATATGAAACCGATATAATGGGAGTTGGCGCTGCCGATAGCCAATATAATCGCCGATATATTTAGTGATGTAAAAATTCACTGTAAATGTTGAATTGTTTAAAAAACTTCGGTTTGGCTCTGGTGGATTTTAAATTGGGTTTATTTAGGCAACATTTATTGTTATTCTGCCTCTTTACATCATATTTACAGACAGTAGGTTGGCTTAATGGCATTTTTGCATCACATTCTAGACACTATTAATGGGTATTCCAGTTCTTTTTAGAGAACCGGCTCTTTCACTAAAAGCTGCTGGTTCTTTTGGCTCCCAAGTGGCTCTTCAGATTGTTTTGCTGCAAGCAGGACTAAAGCACGTCTAAAGCAGGACTGAATCAGGACTGAACCAGGTCTAAACCAGGACTGAAAAAGGACTAAACCGGGACTTTATTTTATGCTAAACTACAGTCAAATATGCTCGTTTTTTTATTTTGATTTGTTTTAATCCTACGTACACGCAAATTTCTCTAAGTTTTGTTTTGAGCCGCTGCCGCTGTCAGACCACGAATCACGCGGCGTGAAGAGAAAAAAAGTGAGAGAAAGAGAAAACACGGCTCCCAATAAGGATCAGGCTCCCGTCGTTCCCTTCAAAGAGCCGATTCTAAGAGTCATTTCGTTCG